ATATATAATTCAAGGTTATTTTGTATTTTAATTTATTAATACTAAGTATGTGCTAGAAAAAATGAATTAATGTAAATAAATGATGATGTATTTATTTAATATCTGTAAATGATGAATTTACTTATTAAGAATATAAGGGAGGGATCAAGTTATTTTGAAAGTAATTTTTGATAGAGTTATTTTACTTAATAACTTATGTTTTATGTTCAGTTTTACCGCAGTAATTAAATTAAGAATTTTTAGTGAATAAATTAAGTTTATAATTTTTTGCAAAATTTGAAAACTATTTTATACTTTATTATATGGATTCAAATTAGCGTATAATATATTTTTAAGAATATATATCTATTTGATTTAGAGTTTAATGGTTATACACTAATAATGTGAAATAATTTTTCATTATCAACCAATCAAATATCATCTTTGGAATGACTTTTTATAATTAATTATAAAGTTAAAAGCATACTATAACACTATAAAACTATTTTACACTATTAATACATCACCTATTTTTCTTTTGATATAATATAATAAAATATTAAATAATTTTTAATTTTTATAAAAATTTGTAGATTTTATATATTTAAGTACTCTTAGATTAACAATTAAATCATTCAATCATTAAATTTCAATGTAATGTAATGTATAACATGAGTAAAATAACTCTTATGTAACTTATTCTAAGAACAATTACATCTAGTCATCTAGGTCAAAAATATATACGTGTGAGTAGTGAAACTTTGTGTTTAAAGGAAGATAAAAATGATTCGGAGATCTTGACATCAAGACATGTAATTTTAGTTTTATTTTATTTGAGTTATTTTTCATTGAATTGCAATACTCATGCATTAATTATTTATGGTAGGCAATGGCTAAAGTAGGTTATTAAAGATTTCCTTTCCTTGTGAAGATCATATATCAAGACTGCTAATTTGAAACCTGTTTTTGCTATTGCAAAATAAATACACTTCAATTTGAATTTTATAGTTTTAGAACTTTTATAATTATTATTTACAACTAAATATGACTCTTAGTAATTAATTTATATTTAATTTTTTCAAACTTATATTTGAAACTAAAATTGACTAAAAGGTACATGGTAAGCATCATGCCTTTAATTAATTATGCCCACTCATAAATCAATATAGGTAACAACTGTTGGATAATTTTATCATAATTTAAAATTTAATTTAAATATCTTTATTCAATTACTTTTTCTATTACAATGTTTTATTAAATCAGTTTTATATTTTAATATTTTTTAATTACTTTTAATCGTTTTAATATTTTATTTAATCCTTTTAACAGATTTGATCAGTGTGAGACCCCGTACAAATTTTCTTTTCCCCAACCCTCTTCCTCTCTAAACTCTCACTCTCTCATTTCTCTTGTCTCACTCTCAACTTTCCCTTTTCCCTTGGACCTTTCTCTTGTTGTTACAAGGTAGTGGAGCTGAGTGAAGTGGGTTGCTAGCTGGTGTCGAATCTCCTTCTTCTTCTCTCTCGTCCGTTCAAGCTCATTTCATCTTCTTCTCGTTTCTCCTTTTTCCGGAAGCTAGGATTTCTTGATTCGAGGTAAGGGAAGCTAGGTCTCGCTGATCTTTGGCTGTAAATGTGTTTTAGAACTCTCTTGTTGGCTGGTGTTGGTGATTCTTGGTTGAGATGGCTAAAAATAGAACTTTGGGGGAGGTTTTGGGTTTTGAAGGAAATTTGGAGATTCTTGATGATTAGTGGTTGCATGTTAAAAATGAGGCGTTTTTATTGTTGTTTGATGAAAATGGGAACTTTTGGCTGGATTGCATGTGTATTTTCTGTTAAGTTTTGCAGGTTTTGGGCCATTTTCGAAACTTGGATGAGTTGCTGCTGAACTTCGCGCTGGGCGCTATTCTTCGCGCCGGGCGCGTGACCACCAGGAGGCTCTGTTTAGGCAAGCCGCCGGGTGCAAAGGTGTGCGCCGAGCGAGCTTGAGAATGAGAGCCTCTGGTTGGCCCTCGCGGGGCGAGACTTGAGCTGCGCCGGGCGCGATATCAATGGTGACCTATTTTGGATGTCCTGGTACTGCGCTAGGCGCGTGTTTGGACCTGCTGGGCGTGAGACTCCTTGGGAGTCTCTGCCAGGAGGGCGCTGGGCGCAATTCAAATTGCGCTGGGCGCGAGATCAAGGGGAGGTCTCTGCCTTCCTCGCGTTGGGCGTAGGCCTAGGCACGTTGAGCGCGTGAGACTCCATGGAGTCTCTGCCTGGCAAGCGCTGGGCACAATTCTATAAATTACGCCAGGCGCGTGAGGGGGTCACGCCGGGCGCGAGAAGTCTTGCGCTGGGCGCGCTGGCCCCTGGTGCCCTCTAGATGTGTCGCGCCGGGCGCGCATGAGGATGTTGAATTGAGGTGCTATTAGCTATTAAACTTTGCTGAAATTGCTGAGAGAGGTTGTTTTATGCTGAACTAAGCTGTAATGGATGTTTATGCTGTGCTGACTAGTTGTTATTGCTGAAAAATGATGTTAAGCTGTAATAGAAGTATAATGCTGTGCTGAGCTGGGATGTTATTGATGATTTT